GGAGGTGTTCTTCCACTTATAAAATTCATCCACAACCTTGGGCAAGTCATAGATTTTTCGAATAGAGGCAACACTGAATGGTACAGCCTTCCCTCTCACTTCCACATTCGACGGTCTTCCTTGAGGCATATTGGCATATTACTCTCGGACGATGGGGAGTACACCATCTTGCTCATGTAAACAGAAAGTCTTCCATTGGTGAGCCTCGATGATGACCGAAATATAGGAAGGGTAGGCATTGGAGTCGAGACAGTCCTTGACAAAACCCTTGTCTGGTGATGGTGTCCGCTTGAGCATGATCTCATGCCTTTGCATGGCTCTTTCGGTGGAGAAGGAAGGGCCTGGTTCTGATCGAGAGCTGCTCCCACTAGTCCTTGCCCTAACCTTGCCACTTCGAGTGCTTGAGGTCTCCATTGTTCCACTCCAAACTCAGTTTGGTTGCCTTGGGTGAAAGAAAGAAAGAAAAGAGGTTGGGGGACTCCAAACTCAAGCCTTTGCTGTGGCTTGAGTTTTTGCAAGAATTTTTCTTGAAGATGAAGTTGAAAGAGAGAAAGTTACTCAGGAAATTGCATAAACACGATAATGAAGGTAGAAAATATGGAACCTGGCTTTTATATTGGGGTAAAAATGCACATGGGTCACAACGGTTCACTGTTGATGGCTGGGTGAATTGGACGGTGCTGCATCAGCGTGTTCGTATAAGTCTGTCAGCTGTGTCGTTTCATCCTTCTTTGAATTTTTAACCATTGCACTGTTACAGCGTCAGTGATGATGTGGCAGCCTCTGAAAAATCTTACCGTTGGGCCTGCTGTACATCATATTGACTTCAATTGCTGCATCTGAGTTGGGCCCAAAGCTTGCTTAACCCGATTCTTTTATTCTAACCCAATTGTATTGGGTTTTGCCTTATGACCTCGTGCTGCAGCCTGGTCCCTATATTTTTATTCAATGGGTATTAACACCCTTTTTCTCCCTGCAAAACTTCTTAATTAAAATTAAAAAGAACATGAATATTAACTTATCCTAATCCTAATACGAGATTTTAAATTTGCAATAAATTAAAATACTGAAGTTAAAATGCATATAATTTAAAAACTTCCTAATTAAACTTTGGGCTGCCTCCCAAAAGTGCTTGTGTTATAGTCTTCAGCCTGACTTCTACCTCATTAAATTCAATTTGGCTCAATCAAGGAGATAATGGTTGTCTCCTTGATATTTGATCTCCCCAATAATGCTTCAGCTTTTGTCCATTAGCCTTGAATGTGCTCCCATCTTTTTCATTCATAATTTCAATAGCTCCATAGGGATATACGTGTGCAACCTTAAAGGGTCCTGTCCACCTTGACTTGAGCTTGCCTGGAAAGAGCTTGAGCCTTGAGTTGAATAGAAGAACTTGTTGACCTTGCTCAAATACCCTTGGCAGGATCTTATTATCATGCCATTTCTTCATATTTTCCTTATAAAGTTTGGCATTTTCAAATGCATTCATCCTGAACTCATCCAGTTCATTTAGCTGTAGCATTCTCTTCTGTCTAGCTGCTTGTTCATCCAGATTCAGCTTTGATATAGCCCAATATGCTTTATGCTCGAACTCAACAGGTAGGTGACATGCCTTGCCATAGACAATTCTGTATGGAGATGCACCTAAAGCTGTCTTGTAAGCAGTCCTATATGCCCATAGTGAGTCATCCAACCTGAATGACCAATCCTTCCTTGAAGGGTTTACCACCTTCTCCAAGATCCTCTTGATTTCTCTATTGGACACTTCAACTTGCCCACTGGTCTGAGGGTGGTATGTTGTAGCAATCTTGTGCTTCACTCCATATTTGGCCAAAAGGTGTTCAAATTGCTTGCTGCAAAAATGACTTCCTTCATCACTTATGATTGCTCTTGGTGTGCCAAACCTTGTGAAGATATTCTTTTTGAGGAACTTCCAAACCAATTTGGAGTCATTGGTGGGTAATGCTGCTGCTTCTACCCATTTGGAAACATAGTCCACTGCTACCAAGATGTATTGATTTCCAAACAAAGGTGGGAATGGTCCCATGAAATCCAGGCCTCAAACGCCAAATAGTTCAACTTCCAAGATGGGATTGAGGGGCATTTCATGTCTCCTTGATACATTTTTGGTTCTTTGGCACCTATCACAACTTGAAACAAAAAGATGCGAGTCTTTAAATAAAGAGGTCCAGTAAAAACCTGATTGCAGCACCTTTGCTGCTGTTCTGACTCCAACATAGTGGCCACCATAGGGAGATGAGTGACAATGTTCCAGTATAGATTGCATCTCCTCTTCTGGCACACATCTTCTTAAAATCTGATCTGGGCATCTCTTAAATAAGTATGGTTCATCCCAAAGATAGTACTTATATTCATGGATGAACCTCTTTCTTTGCTGTGAGTTCTTATGATTTGGCATTATTCCACTCACCAGAAAGTTTGCTATATCAGTGTATAATGGTGTTATAGCATAGTCAATAGCAAACAGCTGCTCATCTGGGAATTCATCTTTCACGGGTTCTTCATCAACTTTTGACCTTCCATCATCTAGCCTTGATAGGTGGTCTGCAACTTGGTTCTCTGTGCCTTTTTTATCTTTAATCTCCAAATCAAACTCTTGAAGTAAAAGAATCCACCTTATCAACCTTGGCTTTGAGTCCATTTTCTCCACCAAATATTTGATGGTTGCTTGGTCAGTAAAAACAGTCACTTTAGCACCAAATAAATAAGATCTAAATTTTTCAAATGCAAAAACAACAGATAAAAGTTCTTTTTCAGTGACTGTATAATTAAATTGTGCCCCTGTAAGCGTTTTGCTAGCATAATAGATAGGATGGAATATCTTATTCTTTCTTTGACCAAGTACTGCACCAATGGAACATTCACTAGCATCACACATGACTTCAAATGGTGAAGTCCAATCGGGCGCAATAATTATGGGTGCTGTAACAAGCTTCTGCTTCAATTCTTCAAATGCTGCCTTGCATTATTCAGCAATTACAAATGGGGTATTCTGCTACAGCAATCTGCATAGAGGTCTGAAAATGTCTGAGAAGTCCTTGATGAACCTCCTATAGAATCCCGCATGCCCCAAAAAGCTTCTGATTCCCTTAACATTAACGGGTATGGGCAGCTCCTCAATCGCTGATATCTTTGCTCTATCAACTTCTAGTCCATCCTTTGATACTTTGTGACCCAAGACTATACCTTCCTTGACCATGACATGGCATTTCTCCCAATTCAGTACTAGGTTAGTCTCTTCACATCTTTTGAGTACTTTTGACAAATTCTCAAGACAAGATTCAAATGATTCTCCAAAGACCGAGAAATCATCCATGAATATTTCCACAAAATTCTCCACCATATCTGTGAATATTGCCATCATACACCTTTGGAAGGTTGCTGGTGCATTGCATAATCCAAATGTCATCCTTCTAAAGGCAAATGTTCCATACGGGCAAGTAAATGTGGTCTTGTCTTGATCTTCTGGTGCTACAGCAATCTCGTTGTAGCCCGAATATCCATCTAAAAAGCAATAGAACTCCTTCCCTGCTAGTCTGTCCAACATTTGGTCAATGAATGGCAAGGGGAAGTGGTCCTTTCTTGTAGCATCATTAAGCTTTCTGTAATCCTGGCATATTCTCCATCCGGTCACAGTTCTTGTTGGTATAAGCTCATTTTTCTCATTCTTCACAACTGTGATTCCTCCTTTCTTTGGTACACATTGCACAGGACTTATCCATTGGCTATCTGAAATGGGGTATATTACTCCTGCATCAAGCCATTTAATCACTTCTTTCTTGACAACTTCTTTCATAATAGGATTCAGCCTTCTTTGAGGCTGCATAGTGTTGTTATAGCCTTCCTGCAGCAATATTTTGTGTGTGCAGAATGTAGGGTTGATTCCTTTTATGTCTGCAATGCTCCATCTGAGGGCTCTTTTATGCTCCTTTAGTACTTATAGCAACTGCTCCGTTTCTGCATCAGAAAGAAAAGAAGAAATAATAACAGGTAAAGTATTTTCATCTCCTAAATATGCATATTTAAGATGCTGGGGTAGTGGTTTGAGCTCAAGGATTGGAGGTTCTTCTATAGATGGCTTGAGTGTCTTTATCACTCTTTCTCCAAGGGACTTAAAGTGTTTCTCCTTGTATGGCTTTATTGGTTGTGAATCCATCCATGCTAGACATTTCTTCATCTCTTCTTCATCTTCTGCATATTCCTCTGCTATAGCAACATTCAGTGGTTCTGTCTCTGTTTGCTGTTTGAGTTGCTGTAGTAGTACTGCGTCAATGGTGTCAATGCTAGCGCATTCTTCCACTTGTTCAGGATACTTCATGGCTTTGAGTACATTGAATGTAACTTGCTCATCATTGATTTGCATAGTCAAGTCTCATTTCTCAACATCAATCACTGCTTGTCCGGTGGCTAAGAATGCTCTTCCCAAAATGATGGGCACTTCCCTATCTGCTTCAAAGTCAAGAACAATAAAGTCATTGGAAAAGATGAACTTATCCACTCTTACCAACACATCTTCAATTTTTCCTTCTGGATAAGTTATTGATCTATCAGCCATCAACAACATAACAGTGGTTGGACGTGCTTCTCCTATTCCAGGCTTCCTGAAAATACTATAAAGCATAAAGTTAATACTTGAGCCTAAATCTAATAATGCATTACCTACATACCGGTTACCAATAGTACAAGGGATAGTGAAACTACCTAGATCTTTTAGCTTTGGTGGTAATTTGTTGAGGTAGTATTGACTACTTTCTCGGGTGAGAGCTACTGTCTCGTATTCCTCCAGCTTCCTCTTCTTTGCCAAGATGTCCTTCATGAATTTTGCATAACTTGGCATTTGCTCGAGGTCTTCAACCAATGGTACATTAATGTGCAACTGTTTTAGAACATTAAGGAACTTCTTGTACTGCTTGTCATCAGTTTTCTTCTGCAATCTTTGAGGAAAGGGTTAGGTGGTCTTGTTGCTTTGCTGACAGTCTGACCTTGCTGTGGTTTTGATGTAGCAATACTCTCAGTGCCAGCAACTTGAGGTTCTTTGGGTTGATCATGATTCTCCTCCTCTTCAGCAACTTTATCTTCTTCATTCTGATTCAATGCTTTCTGTTTCTGTTCATGGTAGTTCTTTATGACTTCTGGTTCATCTACGGCTTTACCACTCCGTAATGATATAGCATTGACCTGCTCTTCTCCATTCTTCTTTGGGACTTCAGTATTGCTTGGCAAGGTTCCTTGAGGTCTGTTTCTAAGTGCTTCTGCCAATTGACCTACTTGAGTCTCCAAATTCTTGATTGATGCAGCTTGATTATGAATTATAGCATCACTCCTTGTCATGTAATCTTTCAGTATATTTTCTAGCGAATTTGATGTATCAACTTGCTGTCTGGGTTGATGCTGCTGCTGTGTGAATCCAGGAGGGTATGGAGCTTTATATGACCTTCCTGCTATATCTGAGGACATTTGTTGTTGTCCATGTTGCTATCCTTGAGAATAGGAAAAATTTGGGTGATTCCTCCATCCAGGATTGCAGGTATTTGAATATGGATTGTTGTTCCTGTTGAAATTACCTATAAAACAAACAGATTAAGGGTTTTATGGACAATTATCATAAACATGGGGACCATTACAGAAAACACATGATATAGCATCAGTTATGGCATATACTGGTTGTGCTTTAGCTTCAGTAGACAGATTCCGCATCTTGATAGAGTTGTTTAAAGCTGAAATTTGTGCTGACAGTGCTGTTACAGCATCTAGTTCTAAAACTCCAGCATCCTTCTTTGGTGTTGAACTTGATCTTTCCACAAGCCACTGATAGTTATTGACTGCCATTCTCTCCAATATTGCATATGCTTATGTATATGTCTTTTCTAAAAGGGCTCCTCCAGATGATGCATCAACCATGCTCTTTGTTGGTCCATTGAGTCCATTATAGAATGTCTCCATTTGAATCCATTCGGGAATGCCATGGTTTGGACACTTCCTCAATAGATCTTTGAATTTCTCCCAAGCCTCATAAAATGACTCTTCTTGCAATTTCTTGAAGGTTGATATATCATTCCTGTACTGGGCTGCCTTCATGGGAGGAAAGAACTTCAATAAAAAAATTTCCGCCAACTCCTCCCAGCTTTGGATTGATTGTGGTTGTGAAAATTTCAACCAAGCTTTAGCTTTGCTGGCGAGGGAATATGATAACAACTTTAGCTTAAGAACATTGGATGTAACTCCTCTGATCTTGAAAGTGTCTGCTACATCCATAAAGTTCTTGAGGTGAAGGTGAGGGTCTTCATTAGACAGTCCATTGAATTGACCAATGGTCTGCAGCATGTTAAACATCACTGGCTTCAGCTCAAAGTGCTCTGCTGCTACATCAGGTTGAACGATTCCAGAATCAGATTGTTGAGCGTAGGAATTGCATTCGCTCTGATTGGAATCTCAACCTGATTTGGACCTTTATTGTTATGTCCAGGTCCATCCTCTTCACCCTTTCTCAGCCTTTCTGCCATGTTGGGTATTGCTGCGTCTTTGTCGTCTCCTTCTTGCTCGAAATGTTCTTTCAATCTTAGGATCAAAATCTGCTTCTTGCTCTGAAGAAGAACTGCTCATACGCTGCAATTAACTCCTTGAAAATAGTAAGGGGAAAGGTAAATGATATAAAAGGAATAAAATTCTTCACTAATATAAAAACAACTTTATAATTATCCCCGCCAACGGCGCCATAAACTTATTGTGCAAATTGTAATCAATTAAATCTTCCACACAAATACACAAGTGCACGTGTCACAAGTAATAAAGGGATGTGTGAGTCCAACTATCGTTCCCACGGAGATAAGTATAAAGTAATGATTATTTAAGTAAAGAAAGTAGATAAAAGATTGATTTTGATGATTCGATTTATAAAATAAAAGACAATTAAAACTAAGAAAACAGTAAACTAAATTTAAAGGTATTAAGATGATGGATGAGATATAGGTCAGGTTCAATTTCCCTGATACAATAATACTGAAACAATGCTTTAACGATGCTATATCAATGCTTAATTAGTAACCGAACACTAAGTTAAGCTGGGGCTTTTGACAAACCTAACATATATACCCAATAACTAATTCCCACATCTCTATGGCCAAACTAATTATTGAATTGTTCAAGGCTATGTGGTGTGAATGACCTCTCTACCCACAACTTAACTAAGTTAACTTTAACCTAATTAATCCAGACAATTCAACAAGGGTCTGGATTCGGAAACCTCTCGGCCCCAACCTCCTCAATATCACATATGTATCTCTCGACATGCACACATGAATAAGATTAAGCAAACTCGTTGAATAACTAATTAAACATTAACATAAACAAAGTTTAGGCATACATCTCAATGTTACAACATAGGTACTTTATCACCTAACCTATAGAGAAAATTAGCTCATAATGGAATTAAAAAAAACAGAGAAAAGGAAGAAAGAATTCATTGGAAAACAGAAAAGAAGATGAAAACGAATGCTGTAGGAAAACTTCGTCACGATCTTGCTCCAGCAGCTCTTCCTCCTCCAAGAACCTTACTTTCTCTCTCTAAAATGTCCTCACTTGTTTCTGACTTCTCGAACCTTGAACCTCTCTGAACTCTCCTTGAAGCCGTCCTTGGTCCTTGTTTGCTGGTGTTTCATCCATTTGTTGGGAATTAACTAACTTTTGAATTTCAAAAGTTCGATTGTTCCTTTGTCCACGCTGTCATGCTGTAGCGATTGCTATATTGTACTTCATCATTTTCTCTGCTACAGCATTCCTACGTTAATTTTTCCTGCAATTGACAAACATTCAACAAGTCATCTTTTCTTACACAAAATCAAGGGATATTGTCTTATTTTCCATACTTAGTCATCTCAAAGCATTCAATCATAAATATGCAACATTAAACTCATTTATCATGCAAAGAGGTCAACTTATATGGAATTTATGCAGCAAATTCATCATAAAAATAACAAATTAACTCTCATTTGGGATAGTTATCATATCACACATAATCAATTATCCAACATCTCAACCTTTATCATTAAGGAAGTAGGATTATAACCAATTCATATATAATTACCCTCTGATTTTCTAGAGATTCAGATTAAACCTAACAGAATTTCCAACAAAATTCTTTTATAATTAACCTATAATTCTCTATAGATTAATATCACGCTATCCAGATCCAAAAAAAAAAAAAAAAACTAACCTATGAATTAGGATCATACCATCCAGATTCATTTAAAACTAACCTACAGATTAAGATTTACCCATAACAAACTCATATAAAGAACATAGGATTACCTAAAGGTTAGGATTACATATAACAAATTTCATATAAAACTAACCTGTAATACCCTAAGGATTAGGATTACATATAACAAAATAAAACTAACCTATAACACCCTAAGGATTAAGATTACATATAACAAATTTTAAATAAAACTACCCTATGATACCTTAAGCATTAAGATTACCTATAAAAAATTTCATATAAAACTAACCTATAATGTCCTAAGGATCGTGATTACATGTAACAAATTATATATAAAATTAAACAATGATACCATAAGGATTAAGATAACATATAACAAATTTCAAATAAAACTAACATATAACGCCCTAAGAATTAATATTACATATAAAAAAATTCAAATAAAACTAACCTATGACACCCTAAGGATTAGGCTAACCTAAACTCTGTGTTTGAAGGCTTCCTCAAAAGATAGAGTGATTCACAACGGAAAACGTAGTTCGCAATTAAGAGGAAAAAATAGTTACAATAAATTTTGAAAGGGTTGAGAGAAAAGAAGAAAAAGGAGAAGGGAATAGAGAAATGTAGGGAATTGGCGAGAATATGAAAATAGTTTGATTTGTTAGGTTAAGCTCTTAGGTTTTGTAACGTAAAAATGACATTAATTGCAAGTAAAATTAAAATAGTTAAATAATTATTAATAATAATCATAATTACTTTAATTATCATTAATTCATATTTTAACAGTTGAATGTTGCAATTTAAATGATAACCAAAAATAAATGTTGAACATTACAAATTAAAATTATCACCAATTAACGTTACAGTTTTATAATCAAATAATGACACACTACCACACGGGTGATAATTAATGACAACCAATATCAACATATAAATATAAAGATACATATCCCTATAACATCACCATATGTCAAAATCAACATGTCTAACATCATATAATTATATAAATACATATTAAAGTATACACCATTATTAATATTAATATTAATTTATTATTATAATTTTTCTTGGGTTATTACCTACGTGATGCAGAGGAAGTGCATCGAAACTCCAAAGAAACTCATACGAAATGTTACAACATATGTTCAGTAATAACTTGAAAGACATGTCGAGTACTCAATGGGTTATTAATATTATAACCCTATAATAAAAATTTGATCAAAACATAATACTAAAGTTAAAATAGAATAGCCTACAATTTTAACTTATCAAAAATAAAATAATCCTGGATATGCATATTCTCTATGCATTACTGATCAGACCAAATACACTATGGGCAGGCCAATATGCACTGAGCCCAATCACAAACGGTTGAGTAATCTGCGTTGAATAGACTGCGTAGTTCTTCGGTCTGGGCTTGGTGGTCACGTAGTGGATCGTGCCTTATCTTTGTCCTTTACGTTGGTGTGTTAACACCAAATGGGGGGGTACCTGCGAAGACACTGTGATGCTTAAGTCAGTATCAAAGGCAGAAATTGTATTTTGTTAATGTAAAGGATGATCGTACCTTGGTGGTATATCGTTTGCTTATATAGTAGTTACGATGCCGCCTTAGTTAA